TTTCTGTTGGACAATCGCATGTTCCAACTGCTTTCACCGCGGGTTATATTAAAAGCCAAAATGCCATTGATTGTCAAAATTCGGATTGGATAATTTCCGTTCTGTTTAAGCTAATGTTAGTTCGAATTCTGTTTTCCTAACTGGTCCAAAATATTTGATAACCATAAATTCATGAATGATGGTTTCCCATTGTATTTCAGACAAAACTGTGTTTTCGAATCCACATTTCCTTCCCGTTTTTTAACAAAGCGAACAGAAATATTTTTCTCGCAAAAGATTGATTAACATATTCACTTCCTTTTAAAAGTTTATCATTTTCTTTTGTAATAAGTGTTTTTTATGTGTGTTTATTCGGCTTGTTGTTTTAATACTGTAACAACGAATTAAAATAACCTGACTTGCGTATTGAAGCGTTGCCAACTGTCAGTTCATTTAAGTCGTTCTGTTAGAAACACAGTCATAAAAAACTGACAGAAATATGTGTATTATTCTTTCTATTTTTGGTGAAACAAGCAGAATTACGCTTGTTTATTTCATTACTGAATGCAAACTCGCATAAACCGACCAAACCGAAACAACCGTAATTATGAACGAAGCTTTCTGTTTTGATATTTTGTTTTTGATTTTTGGTACAATTTAAAATATGACCCCTTCAAATATTGGGTAAGCTACTGATGTGACATGTCCGGCAAACATGGACATAAATCAGGAACTTGAATCGTTTTAGTCTAGCGGTATGTATCGCTTTAATGAAGAAAACAACATTAATAGGTTATTAGTATGACCATGAATTACCACGCATTCTTTCCGGGCGTGATTTCCGGGAGTTTAAATTGTTAAGGAAAGTAGTCTCAAATTTACAATCTGGGAACGAGGATTACTAACTTATTCCATTATTTAAATTATTAAAACGTCATGTCCGGCATTATCTGAGCCCCTTCCAAATCTTTAACATATGAAAAACGATAGTCATATGTTACGATTTGAATGTTATAAACTCTAGGCGCAATACAATTCATTATTTAATTATTAAATGCAGTGCATCAAAATGTCACGTTTTGGCGCTTAATTTTCGCAACTTTCGGCTTTTAATAAAACTCATCCTCAAATATTTGAACCTCAAAATAAATATCACGCTGCGGGATGGTACATATTTTCTTCGTTCTTCATTTTATAGATTAAACAACGAATATATATTGTGGTTTAAATCCCACGGCGTTTATTGTCGGAATATGGCATGACATGTCATCGATTTCAATAATAGAATATACTAGTAATCTTCGTTCTTAGATTTTGAGATGATTTCCTTTAAACATTTAACTCTCATAATCCACTGATCTAGATCTGGCAATATGGTGTATTGTACTATTACAAATGGGTGGCACGTGAACATCCCTATTAAAAAAAATCGAACCATTTAAACATGTTCTTCGTTAATTGCTTTAAATACAACCTTATATTAACCCCACACAGAAGAATAAAACCCAGGGGCGGACTTATAATGTGTGCGTTCTGGGAAAAAATCAGAACGGCCGTTCGGTCTATGGCCGTCGGGCCTCCGACTAATTGTTCTAATTTTTAAAGGCCAACATTCAGAATGGCGGGGAAAGTCTAGTCCGTTCCTGACAAAACCACAGTTTCTTTATAGACTATAGACAAAGCTCAAATGCGTGAACGTTATCGTACTTATTGTGCTTCCATCTGGTGAGGTAAATCTCGTCGAGGTGGGTAAAAAAAGATGAGGATTGAGGTGGAAACTACATTCATTTGGTGGTACTGGAGGTCCAAAGCTAAACAAGCTAACCAAATATCAGTGAGTTTAAAGCTTTATTTCTCAGAATGTATCCGCGAGCCAATCAATAACATCATGCACGAAGTGATTTCCCAATGCACTGCGACATTTTACGCACTGTAATATATAATTAATATTATCAGCTGAAAAAACGGCGTGTGAAATATAAATACGATAAAATCACGTCGAAAAGTATGAATTACGCAATTTGTAATTTACATGCGTTTTTTTTTTAAGGATGTAGTAGACTTTCGTTGGGCAAAACAGAAAAAGCTTGATAAAAATAATAATAATGATTAATGACTAACAATTTTTACATGTTATTGTAGCCCTTGCAACACTCTATCCAAAATTACGATAACGCTAATGTCAACATTAATTACGTCACGTGACTGCTAAATAAACAAAATCGATTGTTCTGCTATTTTTACTGCTACTAGAAAACGAAAATAGTTAGCCAACATATTTTTATAAGAAAAGGAATACTACAATGTTCTTAACAATAATGTAAAAGAGATAGTTTCTGAATTGTTTGGTTCTTTTACAAAGTGGTTGAGAAGAATTCTGTAATAAATTAGAGTGCTCTTTTTTCACAGGTCAATTAGTAATGAAATATTACTGATACTTGAAAAATATTTTACATTTTGTTTTCAATTGATCTTGAGTTCAATCTCTGAAAAAATCAATGAAATCGGGCAAGAACTGTTCGCGTAATCGTGATTTTTGTGGTTTTAGACACGTTACGTTTCAAGTGGCTGAAAAGACTCAAAAACTAAAAGTAGCACAGTGGAGAGGATATTTTCTGTTCAGCGCATCGTATTCAGTTAATTTTTGATGTTTAGGATAGCTACTGTGTTGGTTTTATAAAAATCAAAACAACCCGTTTGGTACAGGGCCGATAAAGTATGAACAAATCGATAATTTGAAAAAAGCAACGTGAAAACGAAGTATGGCCGCCCTTGAATAAACAGTGTAATCCCGTTATCAATTTAAATGTATTTGCTTGACAAGCTTAGTTTCGAGTGTTATCCCATATCACAACAAACTTGGCAATTGTTTATGTACAAAACGTGATATGTGACCGTTAAACTTGAACACTGTCGTGTCTACGCTCCCTTTCTTGCAACTTTCTCGTAAGCCACGGCACCTGAACCGAGCGAAAGTGTCATCAGAGCAGAACTACATAATGAGATGCGAGTACTCGAAAAAGCTACGCTTTTTATTTTTACTAAATATCGGCGATGACACTTACACTTACACTTACAGTGGTCAGCCAGATTCGAAATCAATATATCCCGGTCGACGAGCCTCGTGTTATTCGCTTCACCGCAAGCGTTACCAGATATTGCAGACTTCGCTGGCGATATTTTTCGTTTCGACATCATGCTCATCCTGTATGTTGATGTTGTGTCGTCAGCCTCCAGTGACAGTTTAGTGGTGTCCTCATCGTCAGCATTCGAGGTAGTTACGGTGGTGTCTTCAGTCTCCAGTGCGGTAGAGCAGATGCCACTTTGGTTTTCACTCGACTTGTCTGTTGTCGACTCGTCCGACTTTGTTTCGTAGAGGGACTGTGTTTCGTAGTAAAAAATACGGTTTCTGCTATTCAGAAACTTGCAGGTTTCGCCTGTCATTGGAACCCTTTTTTTCCATTTTTTTCTCTGTGCCATTTTTCAAAATAAACTTGGTCAAAACAAAATAAATGAACAATAATATATAGTAGAGAAAAGCGATGCGATGAACTATCAGCAACGAGTGAGTGTATCCGGTCATTTGACCGGACGCGTACACGCGATGTTTATTTGCGG